ATGAACCAATTATGCTAACAGATAGATCATGATTTTAGAAGCCTAACAAAATTGGTTTCACAATTTTTGGTTAACTACACAAATTTGTATTGAATTTACAAGTTTGCTTCAGCAACTAAATTCAAAAACATTAATCAACCTTCTGAAAAAGAAAAGGGCTCTGCGGCCCAGCGTGGCCCGTAAAGGGGTGGCCCACGTGAAGATGCGGCCCATGTGCGGGGAAGGCCTGCGCGCCTACGCTTTTTACAAAAGAATCTTCACGCTTTCCCTGAACTACAACGAAATCCAAACCCTATTCCTCCCTCTCTCTGACCTCCACGCTTAAACCCCTGGCGTTATCTTAATTTCTTCATGCACACCCCCAAAGTAGGGTGCACGGCGGCGCGGTGAACATGGGCACCAAGCGGCCATGCCAGCCATCTAGGGTTCGCTCGGGCCCAACAGACGGGCCGATCTCCGTCTACGGCTAAACCCGCAGAGATAGCTGGCGGTCGGGTGCTCAGAGACACACCGTCGTGGTCTACCATGGCAGGAGGCGATCCACGATGATGGCGAGCCTGTTCAGGTGAGGTTACGTGCCAACGGCACGATAGAGATCGTGCAGAAGCGACAAGAGGTTACCACGAAGCCGTCCGCGCCACCAATTGAGACGGATAAGGTCAGGGAAGTCTTGGCCACGTGTGACCGCTCCACGCAGCGGTGCTCCGAGCGTGGCACTGTCGTGTCACTGCATCGACAATGAACCACCTGGCCAAGACAGTGCGAGCACCGGGTGAGGGGACCCAAAGCGAGCCTAGGAACACCACCAATTGGAGTTCTTACCCTCGGTCTTTGGTTTACCCCCAACTCCTGACCGTGGCTGCGTATGCGACCGGCGGTGACCAAAACTCCAATTTGGCCACCCCCCGTCTCCCCAGCGCCTTGATGCGATTCGGTCAGCTAGATGGCTCCTAAGCCAAGCTGTCGAGGCGCTGAATTGGTTAGAAGGCCATGTCTGCACGTTAAATCCTAGGGGAAACAACGCGGTGGCGATGGCCCGCAGCAGTTGTGGCGAGGGACTGACCATGACTCGACGAGACGCTACGACACGGGGACACAAATGCACGGTGAAGGCAAGAGCGTGCCGACTAGTGCTAGGATGAAACCGAACTGGTGCCCGCGCAGGGTAGGTAGAACGAGGGTGGAGAAAGCGCCACAAAGAACCAAGGGTGGCAGCCGTGGCCTCGGCTTGGCCCCGGTGTAATAACCGCAACGGGTCGACCAATGGGTAGAGACCACAACCAGAGCAAACTAATGGCAATGGCGCGCTATGCTATGTGGCGGCATCAGAGGGCAACGGGCAAAGGTGCGTGTGGCACACACGTGCGGCGCGCCCGAACACTATGGCTTAACGTCGTGGACGCGGCGATCGCGGTCACAGAGCTGAACGGCTAAAACCAATGTTGTGCACACTTTTTAAAGCTAAACGAGAACTGCTAACGACCAAGGTTTGGGTTCGACTCCATATCCTAACCTAAAGTCGATTATACCATCTACCCAGCGAAACCATCGCAAGGACCCGAGAGCAACCCAAGAGGGAGATAGGAGGATGCCAAGATGGGTTCGTCAAGGTGGGCGCTAGTTCGCGAACCGAGCAGCAATTCACGGTCCGCAGCGCATTCTAACGAAGTTAGGCAATTTCTACGAGAGTACCGTGACACCTATCGCCACCTCGACCTACACCGTTCTCAAGTGCTCATTTCGACGCAGCTGACGGTGCAAAAACATGAAGTTGGTGTTTAGAAAAATTTATGGATATTTAAATGTCGAAGTAGCATTGTCTATCATCTTTTCAGACTTAAAAGGAATTCAAGGTTCTAGTTAGAACTAACACTCCCTAGCACTTTTGGTTGAATTTTTAAACGGTCTAAGCCTCGTCAACCTCAACTAAACAATATGTCATGACCTAGGGCATACTTCGTGCTAACTCATAGAAATAAATATCTAGGAATTATTTAACCCGTTTGTTCAGTACAATTCACCAAAGATCGATACTTTTAACATAAACTCAAGTTCCTACCGATTCCCGACGAGCTCTCGTTCTAAATTTTGGGTTTGATTCCCAAGCTATTAGATTTACTATTAAACGACTTCCACTCACTAAAACAAAAGTTGCATTCTCATCTACTAACTTGCACTTTAAATTTTTATTTAAGTACTAAATACAAGTTATATTTTATATTGTTTACAAAAATTGTTTTTTTTCCAATGATTAAATCTGCCCGTCTATTTCCTTGTCGGGATTTTCATTACCACCTTTATGCGAGTTTTAACTCTAACACCCGAGAAACTTGTCTTGATAATTTCTCTTAGGCCTTAATCTAGGTGCTAAGTGAGCTCGTAACACCAGAGGTGTTACACCATAAAACTTAAAAACAAGGTGCTTAGGAACAATGAGGATATAAATAAGAATTATATTTGTTGCTACCTAATGCCATTAATTTCAATGTGCTTAGTAACAATGATGGTGATGTGAATATGAGAACGACGTCTTCTTTAGCGTCTATAATAGATGGGGCATGGATACACCATGCTCAAGATCCATCTTGTATCATGTACCCCCTTGAAAGAATCAAGAGGGGGTGTAAATTGGCTAAACTAAAGTTCTCACGAAATTAAAACCTATCACTTAACTAATTTCACCTCTTGTGTCTAGTACTCTCTCCATCCTAAATTATAAGTTATTATAACTTTTTTGGAGAGTCAAATCATCTCAAGTTTGACCAAATTTATATAATAAAATACTAACATTTATGATATCAAATAAGTATAATTAGATTCTTTATTAATTATTTTCATAGTATGTCTATTTGTTGTCATAAATTTTTGTAATTCTCTCCATAATTTTGGTCAAACTTGAGATGCCTTGACTCTCTAAGAAAGTTGGAATGACTTATAATTTGAAATGAATGTAGTATGTATTTTTAGTGTACGCAAAATTTTGCAACCTAGTTCCAACCCTATACTAGTATGGTAATTCTAGTTACATAAATAGATGAAGATAAATTGTACAAATATAAATAAAAAGGGTTAAAAAAATCATATAATGATTGTGCGTACCTTGTGAATGTTCGGATTATTAGAGTAGTTTTGGCTGATGGGTGCTACGTTCTTATCATCTGATCTCTATGTTTGCATCTTTACACACGTCGGATAATTGGCAACCAACAACAGTCATTGCTCAATAACATTCAACTGAAAAATAAAAACGATTTTTCCTGCTGCCCCATGAGTTCATCATCGTTGTTAAGTTTGATACCAGACCAACTGACCGTAAGACAGGATATTTCTACACCCCTTAGAGGTAGTTGGTTTGTGTCAAAGTCGACAGTATATTGATGTCGTCTAGGGAGACTTGCGGGCAAGAGGTAAGGGGGAAGGATCGATCTGCAATGGTAACGTGAGACACTCTAAAACACAACACAAACGTTGAACAAGATGTGTATCAATGGCCAGTGATCACATCATGAGGGCACATGGTTTTTAGAATCGCGCATATGATGGCGTGCTCGGTACTGTTTTCTACAGCCGCAGCTGCAAGCTGGTGTGCCATGCATGGGTGGAGCTAGGGGTATCCCTATATTCCATGGAATACCCATGTTTTTTTTTGCAACAAAAGAAATATAGAAATATAAGTGAGTTGCGGCACATTGACTTGGAAGTCAGAAGAGTTCACGACGCAGCTAGCACCCCTCCCTGGATCCACCTCGTCCCTCCTTCCCAGCCTCGATGTCCGTTCAACTCGCCCCCTCGCTCCTGTAATCGGTAACCTGCATTGTCGAACGGCCCCATTCGACTTACCTTATAATCCGGCTTTATTCAGTTTTTTTTTTCAGCCGAAACAATATTTTTCTCTCACAACAATTGGCAGTCACTATAGTCTGCAGCAGCCAGCACGTTTCTTCAATCAACGAACCAGCCCCCCATAGCTGTGCGGAATTGAAAGCGGACGACCTTGAAAAACCATTGGCAGTCACTATAGTCTGCAGCAGCCAGCACGACAGTACCTTCTCTCCGTCTCAGCGGCTCAACCCCCATCCACCCACCTCTCATAACGGCCCAACAGGGTGAACATTCCTTGCTTAACTACATGCTTCTTTGTAAAATTATACTAGTTGTAAGCAGGATCAGATAATAGGAACTCCACAAATTTTGAGAGCCTTCCTTGCTTGTATTTGTTTTTCACTATTTTGGGTAATTTCCCTTGTTTGTTAGTTTCATGTGTCCATCAACAAGACAGTAACTGAATTGTGAACAGGCAGCAACCAAGATGCCAAGAGTGCAATTTGGAGGCAAGATTAAACTGAACATCAGTAAACCAAAATATCATCTTTTCTGTAACATCCATAGCACAATCAATCGAATCATACATTTTCAACTCTGTACAGAAGCAGCACAAGAACAATAAAACCTATAAAAAAAAGACAGTGTACACTAGCTTCATTTTTCAGTGAAAAATGGTAAAATTCCTTAGCTAACACAAACCTCATCTCATCCACCTACACAATGAACTTTATTGCCTTCAAACAAACTAGGTCCAAACCTCGTCATGTTGAGCACAACGTCCTGTTTGGTCATATAGAACTCCCCAACCTTCTCCTATCCACTGTTCCTTATGGCTTCTGGATCTTTTATCACCGTATGGTTCCCGCCATACTTCTCCAGTAGTGTGCTCTCATCTGGATTGATGCTGTACTGCACGTGTCTTAGGCCCATGTCCCTTGCAGGTGCACCGTAGAATCTGTTAGCCATGAACTCAATCCCGTAGGGTACAACGTGCACCAACACTGTACCTGACCTCAGGAACACCATGTTAGTCAAGGCCGCACCGTGAACACCCATCATTGCATCACATGAGTCAACTAGGCGGACAAATTCCTCAAGATTAGAATCAATCCTTGGATCTGCCCTGACCACCTCGAAACCAAACCAATCAAGCCCTCGCAAAACATCAGGCATATTCATGTCTTGCCCCGGTTAATGAGCATTATCCGGGGCTTCTTTTCAAAGTCATCTTTGTCAGCCCTGTATGGTATATCCACTTCAGGTGCAGGTAATCCATAGGCTTCACGGACAAACAAACGGAAATCCATCATTGTGTAGTTCTGCAGTGTAGAGTTTGGATCAATACCAAGATCCCAGTGGCTCCTCAGCCCAACAATGACATGTGGATAGCATCTGACCTCCTCGTCTGCATCAAAATCAATAATATTGTGTCTCGTGAGGCGATGAAAAATTGCTGAGTATTTCTTGATGAACCAGGGCTGATTATTGGTGATAAGTAGTTGGACATCTTGGTCAAACTGGCGGGCAGTAAGAAACAGAGGGGCAAGAACATCACTGAAGTCATGCCAGACATTCGCTGTAAACCCGCCTAATGCAAAGACAATGGCTGGTATGGCATGCCTGGATGTGCAACTTGGCACCTGTTGGGAAGCCTTCAGGGTTTTGACAGTCACCTTCTTGATCCATGGAAGGCTTTTCCGTGACTGTGCTGGAATATTCCACTCTTCATCATTGGAAGTAAGGGACTGTGGGACATACATTACAGTGGAGGAGCGACCAATGGTGCAAGCATCACCACAAAGCTCACAGATGTCGAAGCGCTGGTTGGAGAGATCACAGATGGTTGTTCCAGTTCGAGGTGTGCATGTTGTGTTCTGAACTAAACCTGTTGGTCAATAATATGCAGCCGGCAGTTTTAAATGTTAGTACATGTAATTATTAAACAATTGATGGTTTCTGTTTTCTGAAACAATAGCGACTGACACTGCGAGCAAAGAAAGGGTTTGGCTTTGGCTGATACAGAGTTGTTCCATAAGGACTAAATTATAGGACATAAATATGGGGATACCACCACATCGTGGGAGCATCTAGGGAAAACAAAAGAGGAACTCAATGGAATAAGCTCTAATGGTATACCTATCGCGCATGTAGACTGTGACAACAAATGACCTATGTACGAATTGGATAAGTATGCAGTTCAGGATAAAGTTACTATGTACTTTAATGGCCATCAAATCACATCAGTAACGAAATATCTGATGATGCATGATTTGCTTTCATTGTGCAATATCGTAGAAGATTAGAAAATGCCTCAAAAGCATCATGTAGTGCTACTGTAAAACACAACCAAATCAAACCAAAATGTTCAGCTGGACTTAGATTGGATAAATTCTTCAGGTACAAAATACATTTCATCTTTTAGATTCTGTGCAATGGAACTTCCATTTCTTGATTACAGTTATAGATCAAAATGTGTAGATAAGTCATATTTTATGAGAATAATATTTAATAAGATCAACCTCAAAAGTACTTCTATATCTCTATGATTTTATTAATATTTTGTTAGTATATATTTAGATAAGGAAATGGAGAAAAGTGATGAAGGGACTGTGTCCATCTCCTATAAACAAGCAAATAAGACTGGAGATGGTAGTCCTTTACTCCAAAATAACTCAAAATGCAACATCCTCTGTATGCCACACCTTAAATCGTTAAGATACATTTCGTTGGACAAAGTGGAAGGGTGTAATTATGTGAAGCCAGCATTGTTTCATTAAAAGAAATCAAATTTCATGGAAAGGCATGTTTCAAACTTTCCATGGTATACTTTCGAAAGTATAAATAGATTAGGAAACATTGCATATGTTAAATACAGAAGTAGATCTAATCCAAGAAACCAGAAAAGCATGGGTGCTAGTGGGATACTTCTAGTTGTACTAATGTATTTTTGTTTCCTTCAATGAAGCACCATGCCTTTGTTTGATACAATAATAAATGTTCCCATTTCAGCACTTGAAACTCTGATGTCCTATTATCCATGATAAATGAACATTGTGCTACATTTAGAAATAAAAACAAAAAGAAAACACGATTTATGCTTTTCTGTGACATTTTTACAAAATAACTTCATAAAAAGCATATTGGTTGCCAATCAAACCTTTTTTTCTTTGTGGGAATTCATTTGTGACAGGTTAATTCTAAGCCCTCTGCTGTAAGCTAAGGCTTTGAAAAGACAAGCTTTATGGAGGATCTAAGCAAATATAAATAAATGCAGTCATCATACTTAGTCCTCAAAGTGAATTAATTATCGCCCTCAGATAACATGCTAACACGGTATATCTATACTTCGAAAGTGTGATCCTACAGGTATACATAAAAAATTTGTTGCAATCTTCCCTCCGATTCTTTGTACCAATGTAGCCCAAGACTATGAAACTTTTAACTTGTTTAATTTTCACAGCTGTTGCCCTCAAACAACTTTTGGAAGTTAGGAGCACAAGACTTCCAAACACATGGACCATCAGTACGAATAATTAGCTGCTAAATGTAAGAAATGTCTACAACAAATGATAATTTACATGTGGTTCAACTAAAGCATATCACTAGCTTTTATCTTTATTTTTATTCCATTGGAAGCAAGGGCTTTACTAACCAATCACAAGCATGCCATTTTTCCCTTTAACTGCCCTTTTTACTCAGTGCCGGATAGCACAGGTGAAGTTGGAACACTCTATCTTTGCTATACTAGTCCAGCCTTGTGGTACAGAATTTTGTATTTACCCAGCAGTGTATTCACAGCATAGAAACAAACCATGCAAATAGAGATGTGTCTGCACAGTACCTGACTTAGCAGTGGTTTCTTCTCATTCCTGGTCCTGTGGGGGCGATTGCTTCTCTCCAGGTTCTAGATGTGAGTCCAGAAAACAAGTATAGACAGTGTGAGCTGCATTAGTAGCATCTGGAAACTACTTCACGATGATACCAGGGCGGCATACCAGATCCTCCAGTGCTTCTTTCTAGTTGGGCCGGCACTGCCGTTGCTGTCCCTCCCTCCTCGCCTGCTGCAGGCATGGTGCCTTGAAAGCTTGATTGGGCTCTACATTTCGCCAACTCACGAGATTCAGAACTTCAAATTAGCTAGTCACCTCAGATTGAGACATGAAATAGTAGTAAGAGAAGTAACAATGCCAAACCAGAATTTCCATCATCCAATTCTTGATCAGATGCCGCTGTTGCAAGATCCTCCTTGTTGGGAGATCCACTGGTTGCTGCACCTTGGAAACCAAATTATCAAATCCGACCAATCCGGTCCGGATTCCAAAACCCAAACCCCACCAACTAAAACAGAACCAAAAAAAAAAACTTTCTTGCTTTGACAAGACCTCCTTCCAGCCATGAACAAGTAAGACAAGGGAATACGTTTTGAAGCCACATAGATTCGATTTTACCTGTGGATTCCGACTTATTGCGCACTGGCCGGGTGTTACCCACATTTACGGCAGTGAACTCCGAGGTGGCTACGAGTCCCAATAAACTCTAGTAAGAACACACATACAAATTCGGTGATAGGGGGGGAAGAAAGCAAGAGAAGAAAGATGCAGTAGCTGTCAAACTGTAACCATCGAAAGCTCACCGTTTGGATCCTGCGAGAACAGGCCGGAGAATACGACGACGGCGAGGACGGCCGTGACAAGAACGGCAGCGAACGGCGCGACGAGCCGGTGACGCCAGATGCGCTGCTTCACTATGCTCTTGGCCGCCGTGGGCGACCCCATGCCGCCGCTACTTTTCCTTCCTGGCCGCTGGCCACCTCGCTATAGTCAACTTCTCGTGTTCTGTTCTGTTTCTGATTCTACTTCCTGGAGCTGGATCAATTAATTAGCGATGTGCTTGATTAGTCTCATGAGTCTAGTCTGGTTGCAGATGCCAAGGGCATTTTCTAGTGAATTTTACGGGCTGTCCTTAACTTTATCGGTTCTCAACTACTCCCTGCGTCCAAGAGAGTGTCATTCTCGCTTTGCCGAACATTGTTAACTTTATCTAAATATATATAGGAAAATATTAATATTTATGATATATAATTAATATTATTAGATAAATCGATGAATATATTTTTATAATATAAATTTATTTAGAGATATACATATTGCTAATATTTCTATAAATTTAGTCAAAGTTGAGAAAGCTTGACTGGCACGCATCCCATAAAGTAGCGACACTTATTTTTGGGAAGGAGGAAGTAGATCACAGTACTTCAAAAACATATATTAATGTCGCTGTCGCTAAACTATGTTTAGTGTGTTGTATTGGTTCAAATCCTACTCCCCTCTTCCAGAGCACTGATTTGTGATGGTGACAGTTCTACAATTTGGGTGGGCATATATGCTGAAACATCCCTTTAGTTTATACTTGCTCATTCGAGGCACTTCTCTCTATTTCTCTCTCACACTCTCTTACATCTCTGTCTCGTGCCTCCACCCCTATGCTCGATTCCTAGCCATTGCTTTGTTTTTTTGAAAGATCATCGAGGGGGATGAACTATCTCCACCTGAATTTTATTATCACAGATTCCGACAAAAGCCGGCAATTATAATTACATTGTTGGGTCATGAACCTGGAGTTACAAAACAGGAAAGACGAGAAAGAGAGTACAAACACCACTGCCAACAATACCACATACAATGAGAAAAAACAACCATCACCAACACCTACAACGAGAAACAACAGAGCTACAACTCCTAGGACAGAGACACGTCAATGATCGTCGAACATTGCACCACTAATAGACAGAACTCCGATGATCTCCACTCCACGGGCAACTGTAAGGAACTGAGTCAAGATGATAGACGACAGTCATGATGTACATGTTCTATGGAGTTCATCCGGGATCTAATCGCCTTCCACCTACGCCCCTAGTGGAGAGGAAGTGATGTAGACTAGGCCCGATCTTCCGATAGGTATGATAGCGTCGATTGGTGGAGACTCGACGTTCACGATCTAGGCTTCGAACCAAGACTGATTCGGACCCCCACAACCGTTACACCACTGCTCCGTTGGTTATCAACCACGCGAACGCGATTGACCTCGCCGAGAAGGCTTTCCTACAAGCGAATCGAGAACACAAGCAAGAACAAGATAAACGCAATCTGAAATTGCAAATAAATATGAGGCTTATGATAATAAGAAGGAGTTCAAGTCTTTATTCGAAAGGACTAATCGCCATAGGCGAACAAGATCAAGAACTGGGGCCCTGGTTCATAGAAAGCGGCCTTGGCGGCGATAGTTGCAGCAAAACGATGTCTGTTTCACGAGGAAATCAAGAACTAAACAAAACCCAAACCCTAAGGAGAGCGACGACTGATATTTATAGTGGCTTGGGCGTCACACCCCTAGACGCGCCCTCTAATGGGCCCAAACACGATACACGGTCCAACGGACCAAAATACAGTGTCGCAGCACCCTGACAGATTCTGGACGCTGACTTGTTTCGACGATTTCCGTTGATTCCAAAGAGATTTTGTTGTGAGACCACTTGGATTGGCTTCCTTATCAAATTAGTTTTCCATCCATATATGGATCGTCGAAAATGGAGTCCAGATACGTCCTGAGTGATCAGTTTAAGGCAGATTAGTTCTGGAGGCCAAGGCAGACTCGAACTTGAATTGTTTTGGGCCTCCACCTCGGGGACTCGAACCGAATTAGCCTCGGGCCTCCTTCTTGACTTGGACAGCCTTGCTGGCCTCCTACCCCTCCATACCATGTGCCAAACATGGTCATATACATGGGTGCCATGTCCTCATCATCCTCCCCTTCTTGACGAAAAGCCGTCCTCGATGTCGATTGTGCTTGAAACTGATCCTGCACAACACAAAGGAGAACGGGGTTGTGAAGACAAAGGAAACTGAAATAATTATGAGAAGGAACGTGACCATGTTTCCAAGTTTCTAGCATGTCATCTCGCATAAAAATTCAGCAAGCATGTAGACTCCATGATCCGAATGCACACGATGTATGTCAACACTATCCTGCAAAAGATTAGAACTATCCAAAGACAATGCAGGAATAGATGGTCTAGCAGACATAGGTAGCAACCAACAATGTTCCCCTTCTTGAAAGTGAACTTGTTTCTTTGAGGAACATGAGAAAATGTTTGTATTATTATAGCTGCCCTCTAAATGATCATAATCTTGTACAACAAAAGGAGAATTCATATTACTACGAACATATACTCGATGTATCATATATTGTCCTTTATTGTTATATTTGCCAATTACATGATATGTGTGTTTAGAAAACCAAGGCAAATTGGCATATTTAAAAAGGCTCTCCTCCAAACAATCTAGGTTACACAAAACATCAAATTTAATGTAACCCAAAGTATGTAAAGAAGACAACAGTTTGAGCTTATCAGTTTTAGTAGTAATATGAATAACATGTTTATTTTTAGCACAAGTGACTGGTTCCAAAACATGTAAAACTGAAGCATCATCAATCAATTCATCTTTATCACAAGGAACATCAACAAATTATCATGGGACAAAGATAAATCAAGAGAGGGTTCCACTAACAATTGCTTTATGATAGCATGGTTTATGGAAAAATTTAGAACATTAAGACAATTTTCACCTTCCGTAAGTGTAGCACCATGGGCATTACCTGTGTTTTCAGCAGGAGTAATAGGTGCATTGTGAAGTGATGGTTCTGAATTTGCATATGAGGTTGTGAGCTCCTCATATTCTTTCATGTCATCCTCTCACTTATGTACATTATCCTGCAAAAGGTTAGTCATAGCAAGAGGAATAACAATAGACTCTTCCTCTAAATGGTGCACCACACCATAAGTCAAAACAGGAGGTGGATTAACAAAGGTTTCTCGCATAAGAAGTTTCATATCATTCCAAGTTTGAGGTTTATCAGAAGGATCTAAAGACTCCCACCAAGATAAAGCAGAATGTCGCAAAACACTAGCTGCATTTTTTACCTTCCTCCTTGGACACATAAAGCGAGTAGCAAATATGTTATCTATGGCAATTTCCCACTCCATGTACTCATCAAAGACCTATACCATCATAAGTCGGTGGATACGAATAACCTGTCATTGTTAGAAGACAACAAAAGATAACACAAAAGTATTATCCCTACCAACTACTTAGGTTGTGGACAAGGAAAAATAAGGCACTCAACTCTCAAGCGTCTTGCCACGGTCTTACAAGTGTTCTTACCAAAGCAACAGGCGGTGCAATCGGTCGGTGACTGTGATACCATTATAGCTTGAGTGTAACAGTTACAAGGCGAACCTGTACTTGGTTAGAAGAAAGTGGAGCTTGGACAGGCACAATATAGTAGCAAGGAATATCAATAATTTAATTCAGAAATTGCAAGATTGAAAAGTAGTCCCAAGCTAGTCTATGTCGCTGGCTTAAACTCGTCCTGAACCTAGTTTAAGCAAGCAATACAATACAACTCAGCACAAGGACTCAAAGGATGAAGCACTTCTGAACTTTTTTTCACTTTATTTTTTTTCCTTCTTTATTTTTTTGTCTCCTTTTTTAGGTGCGGCTTTTTTTCCTTCTTTTGGTTTTTTCACCTCTTTGCCTTTTTCTTTGTTTTATGTTTTTTTTATCTCACAAAAGTGCCGCACAGAAGAGATTAGACTTTAGATATTTCCACCGTGGAAGAAAAATACTTAACCAAGGAAGCCGTAGAAGGAATTGCTAGAAAAAACAAACTCAATCACGCAACCCACTCCATGACTATTTCATATCCAAAGAAAAACTAGAGATCAATCTAATGCAAGCCACACTAGGAAACAAGACTTGACACTAGACCAAGAACAAGATCAGAACACAATGAACACTAAGACGCGGCGAGGGACAACAGTTCAATAAAGCAAACTGAAATTAAAAAAATTGCAAAGGCACAGCGGGGCTATAGGACTAGAGATATGTGATAGTGTATATTTTTTTGGCTTTTTGTGGACTATAGGTAAAACAAAAATAGTAGCAAACTAAAGGGAAAAACAAAGTTATACCTAACGGGCAACAAGGTCTCTAATACCACTTGATGTAGACTAGGCCCGATCTTCCGATAGGTATGATAGCGTCGATTGGTGGAGACTCGACGTTCACGATCTAGGCTTCGAACCAAGACTGATTCGGACCCCCGCAACCGTTACACCACTGCTCCGTTGGTTATCAACCACGCGAACGCGATTGACCTCGCCGAGAAGGCTTTCCTACAAGCGAATCGAGAACACAAGCAAGAACGAGATAAATGCAATCTAAAATTGCAAATAAATATGAGGCTTATGATAATGAGAAGGAGTTCAAGTCTTTCTTCGAAAGGACTAATCGCCACAGGCTAACAAGATCAAGAACTGAGGCCCTGGTTCACAGCAAGCGGCCTTGGCGGCGACAGTTGCAGCAAAACGATGTCTGTTTCACGAGAAAATCAAGAACTAAACAAAACCCAAACCCTAAGGAGAGCAACGGCTGATATTTATAGTGTCTTGGGTGTCACCCCCCTGGACGCGCCCTCTAATGGGCCCAAACACGATACACGGTCCAACGGACCAAAATACGGTGTCGCAGCACCCTTACAGATTCTGGACGCTGACTTGTTTTGACTATTCCTGTTGATTCCAAATATATTTTGATGTGAGACCACTTGGATTGGCTTCCTTATCAAATTAGCTTTCCATTCATATATGGATCATCAAAAACAGAGTCCGGATGCGTCCTGGGTGACCAGTTTAAGGCAGACGGATTCTAGAGGCCGGGGCAGACTCGAACTTGAGTTTCTTTGGGCCTCCACCTCGGGGACTCGAACCGAATTAGCCTCAGGCCTACTTCTTGACTTGGACACCCTTGCTGGCCTCCTACCCCTCCATACGATGTGCCAAACATGGTCATATGCATGGGTGCCATGTCCTCATCAGGAAGCCTCAAGGGTTGGAGGACTGATGATTGGAGAACGAGGAGATCCAAGAGAGGGGATCATGGTCCTGCTAACCAGACATATGGTGAGAAGATGCAATCAAGGAACATGGTGGACGTCAGAGTAAGGACAATGGCAGCTGACACCATCCAACAACCAATTAGTGTCGCCACATAGGAGGTGCAAGCATAAGACCATGCAGAAGAGTTGTGATTAAGTCTGAGAAAACCCTCCACGGTGACATCTACAAGTAGGATGTGGCATCAACGACACCACCGCCACTGGCTAGAGATCTAGAGCTAGGTTTTCACTCGGAGATATCCTATGGTTACATGGGTGGAGAGGCTACAACGACGCCTCCAAGGAGGTTAACGGCGCCCAAGGGCGCCGCCGTCAATAGCATCGACAAGTCGGGCACGACTTTCGCCTAGGCTCCCATACCCATCAACTGTAGACCGCCTTCTCAGAATGAGGACGATGAATCCACGGCATGATGTGATGCCCCCACACACATTAAAAAAACTTTATCCAAAATGTCCGTGTGTCCTGGACCTAGGCATCGGATCAAATTAAGGTACAACGTAACGCAGTCAGATTTAACAGAATCACCAAAGAAGTCCAATGCACCATAGAAGACATGCACAACATCAAAATTCAAAACAAGCAATCGCCAACAAAGAGGTTCCAAAGAACAAAATGACGCACTAGAAAAACTCCAGTGTAGAGCATCGGAGAAACAAAACAAGAACCCGAGAGCATTCAGTGCTCACCAAAAAAGTTCGGTGGCATCGGAGAAGAGGGCACCAGAGCAATGGTGACCCAACTGTTAGTCCAACTGCTTGTTACCAAAAAAGCACCAGAAAACTCCGGTGACCCCACTGGATTTATCCGATGAGTGCGCACAAACTGCAGCACTTTCCCAACAAGAAGTTTCATGTGTTGGGGCTATATATACCCCATATCAACAATTTGAAGTGTGTTTGTGGTCAAGGAAGGTATAGGAGGACTGAGGTTCATCTCTAGTTTCTCTAGCCACCAAAGAGCTTAAAGGTTACAATGGTGATTAGCGTAGGTGTTCTACGAAGTTCTTAGGTTAGTTAGACCACCACTTATGAACTTGCCCTAGGTTTAGGCCTAGTGTTTAGTGAGATTTGCACTCCTCTCACCACTCAATGCTTACACACACCATCGTTGTACTTGGAAAGGCTTGTCGTCTTGCGAGAACACACCAACCGCTCTTGTGGTGTGGCCACCACTGTGTACCGGAGGGAAGAAGGCCCACGACATTTCGGCGAAAGCTCGATAGTGAAGATGGCGAGGAGTGGTCCGGGAGAAGGCCTAGCGGAGACCCATTTGCGCGTGGGGAAGGTCTGCGGGCTCCACGGAGTTACCCGATCGAGAGCTTGTCCCTTGCGAGGGGTTCAAACAAGGAATAGGGGGAGCGTGAGCTTCTCGGTACCTCGGTAAAAATATCAGTCATCAATGGGAGTATGCATTCTCTACCCTTAAGCTTCCGCGTTTATATTGTGTACCAAGGTTGCGTGCTTAATATTCTAGTTTAGCTTGCTAGGCTAGTTCATAGGATTGGAACCTATGTTGCATAACTCTTTTGCAGACCAACAGCAGCTTGGGCCTTCGTCCAATACGGCAGCATCTTGCTAATCTACTTAGAAAGTTGATCGGCCAAAAGCTTGATGATGTTCTTAGGATTCTTCATATCTGTAAAATCATCTCGCTTATCATTGGCCATGGTAGTTGATCTATTTTGCTTTCTTCCCTAGCGGAGTCACCAAGAAGTGTGTTGATGCTAAATCTAACCAACACACCGGTAAGGGCTAGGTTACCTTGGTCGCACAGGGCCAAGATACGTAGTGAAGGTAGGTCTAAATAGTGAGGCTGACTAGCAGGTGACGTTCAAAAAACCCCACGAACGCTTTCTAGGAAGACCTGTCGTGGAGACGCACAACAGGGGTGACCTAGGATTGGCAAGGTCATCTAGAACAACGGCAAATCTCATCGAGTCAAGTATTGGAGAACAAGGGGCTTAGAAAAGATAGGGTTTTGAGGTAAAAGGTAAAGGTAGATGTATTTTTGATGATTGGGTATATGGATCTTTCGTATAAATAGAGGGTTGGCCTTAAGAAAACTTATTCCACATGCAATTTACAAGTTTCCATGAAATCGGTTCTAAAAGAAAACACGAACACATCTCATATAGCCAAAACCGTTCAGTCTGAGTTCGGTTCTAAAACCGGCTTGGACCGGTTTTTATCGGGCTACGGCGCCTCCCTACCAAAACCGTCAGTTTGTCGTCCGACTCGGCCAACTGAAAACAGCTTGGCCCAAATTTGCCTGTTGCCCAAACCGAATTGGGCTGATTTTTGCCGAACTTTGTTAATATTGCTCCAAATTTGATCTTTTTTTATTGCACGGGTTTTTCAGTTCATCTTCAACTCCCCAATCATATTTTGGCTGTCAACGTCGTAGCCACGTGAACATGGTTATTACAATCTGAAATTCATTAATTTGATTTTACATAAAAAGTTGAATTATGTGCTTTAGTGCAAATTGTTCTTTTTTTAAAAAAAATTAGTGCAAATTGTTCGTTCATCATGAACAGTACCAGTGACGATTAACTACAAACAGAATGTTACGAAGATAACACTTAAGCATCGTTTTTAATAATGGTACAACATATATTCAAACTTCAATTATTATGGTATTATTTTTGTTCTCTTTTACAATGCACGGATATAAACACAGTAGAATAAATAATATTATTTTCTTTTCTTCGAGCAAGCAACCAAACTGATGAAAGACACGACTAAACAAGAGGCGCCGCGGCGCACCAGGTGCCAGCCTTGTCGCCAGCCCAACTTTTGAGAGCATGGGTCACCCACCCCTAAGGTCTTGTTCGGATGTTGTTGGATTCTCCCAAAATTCACATGTGTTAAAATAGTTTGAGGTAAAATTTAATTCAAGTTCCACTCTAATCCAACACATGAAGATTGACGTGAATCCGACTATATTCAAACAAGGCCTAAGCTAGTCAGGCCGTATCGGCGTCAGCCCAACTGCACCTACTCTATTCTCGTCACGTGTTCATTCTGTTTGTGTTTTTATCATTAATTTTATGTCTTCCTCTCTTAATTCATTCAGCTGCAACAGATCCATCATCATGATGACGAAGTTAAAATATGGGATGGGAAAATCCCACCCGGAATGCTCCAACTCTAACATTTCTCATCCCAGCGACGCCAAACCAGGCCAAGCCGGAATGGAATTCACCAGGGCATACGGCATTTTCTGTATAGTCTCTCTCCACAGAGCTCTACTGCTTCTGCTTGGTCGAGCAGGTGGTCACATGCCTGAGGAGCGCCTGTCCCGACTGCTGCGCGAAATGCTTCTGCCTCAGCTGCACATACGGGTAGCACAGCGTCGCCAGGACGTGCGCCGGCTTTGAGAAAGAAACCACCTCGTACCACACCCGCTCCTCCTCGTCTACCTGCACCAAGAAGCGCTCCTCCCCGGCCTGCACACACCACATACAGGAGTTCTAGCTTCTCAGTTCTAGCACGTAGCAAAAACATGCCAATATATCTATCCTCCGAGTATGTTTCGTGTGTGTACCAACCAGCAAATGGCCCTGTAGAGTGCCGCTGCCGAACGCAAACATCTTGGATCTGTCTGACTCACCATCGGTCACATACGCTATCTGAAGTGTCAGCATCACCCAGGGGATCAACTCCTTGTAGCAGATGCAGAACCTTGTTCCTACCTTCACCGAGGTGTCCGGTTCCACATTTGCCCACCCTAGCGCCAAGTGCCTGAAAAGTAGTTCCTGGAACGCTCAGTCAGGAGGCATTATCTGAATATGTAGCGAGAACGGATGATGAGAGCTCTGGTTCAGGCTCCTTATACCTCCATGAGAGGAGGGCGGATTTGGCATGGACAAAGGCATCAGAACCTGAGCCAATTAGAACACGCGATCGGTTCACAAAGAAGCCATGCTCGGTAAGAACCTTGTCGCTTGTTTCGCCACCAGCTTCGTCAGAGGTCAAGGTAGACGCTGACTTTGGGCGTGTGGTGCCATGGAGAGCTGTGTCGTAGTTGAAGCCACCAGCGGCTGCAAGGCAGGACTTCTGTTGCTCCTGCGTGGGGCGGCCCATGCTCAAGAACAGACCTCCCCATGCCATGGATTCTTGCACGAGCGATGCCTCCTTATCCTGAAAAAAAAATGTTGGGGCAGTTAATCGATATGGTGAAATCAGCCCCATCACATGGGGGCAGCTACTGGATCATACCCTATTTTAGCTGCGAGAATGTGAGATGATTGCAGGTGTTGGCAGATGCATAATGATTGTGCATAGCATAAATATCTGAAGGCCAATGGTGCTCTCTTCAACACAACACACGGGTCTTGGCAAGCAGGAATCTAAAACAAATGAGGGTTGATTCTGACTTAAGACGCTACAAACCAGACTTGGACACAGGGGCGTTAATTATACAATTTAGCTAATGTACTACTGTCATATGCTTTGGTTCACCGGTATGGACAACACATGGTGAATCAAAAGTCCAAGACAGGTAAAGGTCATTTCAGAGTACAGATGAGATAAACAAGAGTTGGACACATCTGCACCATTCACAGGCACACAAGTGCACTATTACATAGTTGCGGCTCAAGGATAAGGTGTCTAGTTTGTATTGCTATGGTTTGACTTAAAACCACACATATGGGGTTGCTTGTTACCAAGTTTCAGGGATTTCAGGATTGATGGCCAGTATGGTTGTATCTCATTCCTTCTGAAACTGACTGAATGCAAGCTGAGCTGATAAAAAGATGGGGAATTTTGAACTCATAGGACTTGGCCAGTTACTCTATGTATCTACAACCTTCCTCCATGGTTATGCATGAAGCAGAAGTTCATTATGATGCCGATCCTCATCCAAGGTCCGAGGCAATCTGGCATAAACATTGATGTCTATCTGAAGCCATTAGTTGAAAAACTTCTAGTTTTATGGAACAAACCAGGTGTACGTGTCTGGGATGAGTACAAACAAGAACACTTTGACCTACGAGCAATGTTGTTCGTAACAATCAATAATTGGCTTGCTTTAAGTAATCTTTCAGGTCAGACAAACAAAGGATATAATGCATGCACACATTGTTTTGATGACCTTGATAGTATATATTTGAAAAGATGTCGAAAGGTCGTGTACCTTGGCCATCGTCGATTCCTTCCTTTGAATCACCAAGTAAGAAAGAAAGGGAAGCATTTTAAAGGTAAGCCAGACCACCGGAAGAAGCCTCATAACCGAACCGGGGAAGATGTACTCGCAATGGTTAAGGATGTGAAAGTAGTATTTGGAAAGGGACGCAGCGAATCTATTCCCAAAGATGCTAAGGGACATGCACCCATGTGGAAGAAGAAGTCCATCTTTTGGGAGCTACCCTATTGGCAAGTCCTAGAGGTCCGCAACGCAATCGACGTGATGCACCTGACAAAGAATCTTTGAGTGAACTTGTTAGGATTCATGGGTGTGTATGGGAAGCCAAAGGATTCACTTGAAGCACGCCAGGACTTACAGGGCATGAAAGAACGAGACAACCTTCATCCAGAGAAGACAGATAATGGACGTCATTACTTAAGTCCTGCTAGCTACACGCTTAGCAAAGAAGAGAGGGACAACATGTTCGAATGTCTAAGCAGCATTGTAACAGAACCGCCCAATTTATACAAGATCAAGTACGGCTGTCCCCGCTAACACGTTGACACACACATACTTTCACTCATATAAACCCGGTAGTCCGCCGAGTGTCCCAAAAGACCTCGGTAAATCAACATCACAACCAAGATCGCGTGATTAAGCAAATACACATCACATACGCAGGGTTGCAGCGGAAAATAATATTACAAATGAATTCACAAATAATAGTACAAGTTTGGGTTTCAAAACCGATTAGTGAAAACAACATAGCTTTCAAAAGATTACATTAATATATGTTCCAAATACATTGCTAGCATAAGTGACATCATCCGACAAAAGCATATAGATGAGAAGTAACTATAGAATCACCGAGCCCATCGGCGGTTAGCCACCATCTTCAACAGGCCGAGAACTTCACCTGCAACATGGTGGGATAAACCCTGAGTACTCGAATGTACTCAGCCAGACTTACCCGTCGAAAACCAAAACAAATGACACCAAGGGTCATGCAAGGTTTATGAGGTGGGCTAGCTTGACACATTTGCATAAAAGAGCTTATGAGCATAGTAACCAATTTAAACTTAGTATCAAGCTTATCATCATTTACCTGTCCACTAGATTAGCACATGTACTAGAGCACTCACTTATTAGGAGCAATCAATATTAACCATAGCAGGTATAATAAGGCTGTCATCATCATATCATCATTTTCGAACCATTATGTTATTTAGTGTGTCTACATTGGAGATAAGCCCGTCAAGTTCTCACTAACCGGGAGAGACGCAATGACTCGAATCGAATTACAACTCAGTGAGGGGTATTCCTAACTCTCACCCCAGCATACTTTGCAAGGGTAGCCGTGGGTCACCTTTGGAACAACTCGAGAACCAAATTCGCGGGTTCGATCAAAGCTTGACACTCTCGTGGATTACCCTTCATTAGGGACGATCGGGACTTTTAAATCACCGCCCTTGGACTCACGCCTCGGCTCCCTTCCGAGGCGCACTTTATACTTATCGACTCCCGGCCGAGGTGAGCTACTCGCCATGGGTCGGTCTTCGGACACTGCCAACCAACTAAGAGAGCATGCGTTCAACATGAACATGAAAGGCTCCAAGATTTAGTCCTTAATCGACACGCAGACGGAGTGATCGCAAACCCCGGCAAGCCTCCGTCCGGTCTTCATTTCAAATTAAGACCGGTTCTTTTCCATGATAGCAAATATAGCCAACCGTGCCATATGTATCTTCCTATATCTCGCAGTGACAGAAATCACCGACTTCTACCATGTTTAAGCGGGGCTAAGCACTACACGAGCTTTGAGCTACATAGGATTCGTGGTATCAATATCTCGGACAAGGATTGGATAACCAATGCGACAAGTGTTTGCATCCAACACCTAAACTTAATACAACAATATATATGTAACAATAATACTTTAACTGCATTTCGGAAATTAGGAGGCTTAATATGCTCCGGGGCTTGCCTAGGATCCGACACAAGTCAGTTCAGTTAGCTTGCACCGTCTTGGTGACATCTCAGGTCCTAGCACTTGCTTAGTCCTTCCATCTTCGGGATAGATTCATCAAACGTTGTCTTCGGGTTTGGCTCCAACATCGCATCCTTCACGTGGTGCATCTAGCGTACCTAGATGAGATGCAATATGCAAGTGTATGAATACATGGAAGTGTAATAGACAATGCATCGCATGCAGTAAGTAAGACAAGCACAAGGTTACATTAATATGCACAACCACTTCGCATTGCCTACTTTAAATATTGCACAATTTATCATCCCACGATAGCAAAGAAGATGACAACACCAAGCATGACACAAGTTTCCCAAGATCTCAGGTACTCTAACTCAACCATCATCAAAGGTTTGAGCCACACTTAGCAATATACAAGCAAACAACTATAATTGGAATCTGTCAATTTCTGGACATGCAAACAATAGCTACAAGATTTAGCTATAACTGGAGTTACACAATTCCAAATGACTTGCAAAAAGACATTTTGGAAAGCTTATGGAATTTTCTACAACTTTGTTATTATCACCAAAAGCTCATTCAAATCATAACTAGATCAAACACTAGCATCTTTCAGATCTGCTCAGAATACAATTAAAACCTACCAAATACTTAAAAGTCATGTAACTCCTACACTATCTGGCCTATGACCTCACAATTTGAACACAAGCAAGATCATGAAATTTTCTACAACTTTGTATTCACTACAACCATAGTAAACATCATTTACACCACGAATATAATTGCACAAGCAAAACTGCAATTGCAACCCAACAGCAGTGGTAAAAAAACTGATAAGAACTTCAGAGAAGCACAACTGGAGTTCTAGACCTCCAACAAACATAAATCATAACTTTTTGAAAAGCCTAGGAAGTTACCTACAACTTTATTATTCTCATATTAATATGATTCTATAGTTAGGATGGTCAATTAATTCAATAATTGCATCTCTGTCCAAAACATAGACAGAAACTGACATGCCACTTTAAACAGCTATAACTGGCATTATACATGTCCAATAAATGTGGTTCTAGACTTTTTAGAAATCTTATCAAATTCTAAACAACTTTGTTGTAAACACCTAAAGCTAATTATACTATTAAGAAGGCCCCACAATACCAACAAGGTAACCCTGTCAGAGTTTGGGTAGAAACAGCCACTGATATTTAAGCAAGTATAACTCAAGATCTACTTAACCAAAAATCATGATATTTAGCTTTTTGAAAATATTAATAAAAGTACTACAACTCATGTATTATCACAAAGTCATGATTCATAACCTAACTAAGCCAATTAATTTAATCTTGCAGACCTATTCAGAATAGGGGTGAGGCAATACAGGTAATTTGTTATTTTTATAGATCTGAAACTATCAAGCCTAAAATACTGAAATTTTTACAAGACATCACTAATCACATAAGTAACACTCCATAAAAAGTTCACATTTATTTGAGTAAAATAACTACAGTTATCAAAAAGACAAGACATGACTAGCATTAAGAACCTAACTGCCTAAATCTATTTTTACAGCTAAACCTTTAAACTAAAACATGTAATATTATAGATCTAGTGCACAGAGAATTTCACAAGGATTCCAAAAAGTACTCATTTACTATTTTATCATATTTCTACTAATTATACGATTTTCCAAAGTTCAGCACAAAAAATCTGCCATTAAAAGATTAAACCGAAAAGGAAACGCTTTTGCATTGGGAACCTGGACTTTACTCAAATCAACCAAGCCCGTAAATGTAACTTCTTGTGTCCGGCTATTTTACAAAGTGAACACGTTAAAAAGTTTTTATTTACGATCGACCCTTCTTCTTCCTTTTGACGGGCAGAGACGGAAGACGCGCTTGTCGTGGCGGGCCTCGACCGACCGGCCGGGAGGGCTTCGACACCGAGGAGGCGAGGGGAGGCCGGCCGGGGTGCGTGCCGGCCAGCCAGCCGTGGCCA